GGCTGCATTTATTTGATCAAAAATACAGTAAAAACTGTAATATTGTAGAATATTATTACAATTTAAAATATTTTTCTCTATTAGGACACTAAGGCAATTCATAAACTAAAAAACCCATAAACATTCCTATACATATAGTAGACATGGAATTTATGGACACACATTAACGATTTGCTAACAATCATGCAAACCCTAAACAAGCATCTACCCTTGACGTTGTGAGTGTGAAGAGCTCTTGAATAATAATAAGAGGGCTGAACATACATGCTGAAAGGCCTTAATTAAAGGGCCGCTCAGTCCTACGGGAAGCATTTTTAATTACTATTTCCACTCCACACATATTCCTCCCTCTCTCCCCCGTTCATTTTATACCCCTTCCCCCTCCACAGTTTATTTGACAAAGCTTTGTCTGTTTATTTATCAGAAGCTGACCTTTTATTACCCATAATGGCCCGGGGGTGAGAAGCAGTGCTGCAATACTACTGACCTTTTTTCAGTAGTGTGAGAGTAGTTCTGCTGTTTTGGCATTTTTCACTAATTTCGACTTTCCAAAATTATGCATTTTGTGTAAATGTATCTGTTTAATTTAATGGTTAAATTTAATTTCATTGTTTTGTGTCAGATAAACACAGCTCTGTTTATTAGTACTACTGTCGATTTAAGACAGAATGCACATATCTAATATACTGAAACATAGTCTTGTATAGCCAGACCTTCAGACTGATGGCAGAAGGTCTGGGAACCTTGGCCACTTTGAATAGCCAAGGACCGCCCAAGAGGCCATATGACTGACAGGTAAAGCAACCAATCATGTTTTATTTTCTGCCGCGTCATGTTTATGGGGGTGGAAATGTCCCCACAATAACAGACCAATGTGTAAAACTCTTCAAGAGTCTATGCGCGAACTTTACATATGTCACATACTTTTGAAAATCCAGTGTTTAGTTGATCCTGATAAGCACTCATTGTCACAGCTGTAAACACAACGACTTTCTCCCTCCGTGAGGGGGTTTGGAACACGAAGGCAAGAACGCGACACACATGTCTCCCAGTAATTCTGTAATTCTGTATAACTCAACCAATCTTACAACGACTTTGAAACACCTGAAGTGTTTCCAATTTTGTGTGCCATATACATCAGACGTTCAGCCAACGGTCAGTGGGCGTGACGTCTAAGGCTGAGACTAACTGACATGGATCCGATTTCATTTCCAGCTGTATGTTCATTTAAGACATAACTGACTGTCTGAATAAATACTCGCCAAGAAAGACATTTTTTGACACATTTTTTGTGTATATTTTAGGGATGCACAATATTATCAGAACGTTATCGGAATCGGCCTGCATAAAAAAATATGCTGATATGCCTGGCCGATAAGACAGATAGCTCACGTGTGCTCAGGGTGTAATAGTGATAAGATAACGTCAGCAGTGGTCATTCTTGAAGCGAACTTTTGCCTGAATGATTATTAGATTCACTGTTTTGGATCGCCACATTTAATTTCAGAATGCACTTACAGAACGACGCGTCCAGTGTGCGAGAGAGTCAACAGTATCTAGCATGTGCAGTAACAGCGGCAGCAGCCTCCCCTGGGTCCTAATGCCCCTCCGAATTTGCTTTTCATTTACTTAGGGGGCGCTGTTGGCCTATTTGTAATAAAATGAAAGTAAAATACATAAATATCATTAAAGGGATAGTTCACCCAAAAATGAAAATTTGATGTTTATCTGCTTATCCCCAGGGCATTCAAGATGTAGGTGACTTTGTTTCTTCAGTAGAACACAAACAAAGATTTTGTCGCATCAATGTATCGTCACGAGCCGCAGGGTTTAATTTGGTTTTGTTTGTGTATGTTTTTTTTACTTAAAGCCGTGATTCCCATCCACTTACATTATATGACTGACAGACTGCTGCAACGGTTTGACTTAAAAAAATGTGTTTGTGTTCTACTGAAGAAACAAAGTCACCTACATCTTGGATGCCCTGGGGGTAAGCAAATAAACATAAAATTTTCATTTTTGGGTGAACAATCCCTTTAAGATACTTGTGTGTCTGAATAAATAAAGCAGTATGGATGTCATAAAATCACGAGTCTGTTTTGATTTAAAGGTCAGAAGTTTTAGCTAAAAATCAAAAACATGACACTTGTAAATTAAATAATGTAATATATACAGATTTATTAAGTAATATATAATATATATTTTTTTAATGGATTATGAAAACTTGAATATAAGGAGCTCTGAAAGATTTTTTATTTTATTTTTACAGCTCTTTTTCTTTAGTCTATCTATTAATGTTAAATTCACTATAAAATGTTAAGGTTTCAACTGCATCTGTCTGAGAAAAAAACCCAGCAGAAATTGATTTATTACAGTTATTTTCAAGGCTCTCAATGTAATCTCATCAAAAAAATGTTTTTGCTCAAAACTAACCAAAATTAAAAATAATTTGTTTATAATTTCTGCACAGGAGAGACTTGGTGTTGTTTCAAAACAAAAGGAAATATATATCGGTTTCGGCATCTGCCATCGGCAAAAATCTAATATCGTGCATCCCTAGTATATTTGACCGTTTATGCACAAGCCCGAAACCCTAAGTATACTTCGCTGGCTCGTGTTTAGCTCCGTGTCGGAACACACGCACAAAACAAGCCTAAGGAACAGGCTCTTTTGCAGTTAATGCACTTTTAATAACTTTTTAATATAAAGCATGTCCCACAGTAAACTGCTTTTTTACGACAGTCACATTACATGATTTGACCTATTTGGGCGTTAAGCTTTTAAGGAGGGGTTTATTGTACTCTGTGAATAACATGAGAGGTAGTGCGAGAAAAGAGACAGACAGACAGAGAAACACTGACCTTCCACATCCCTGTTCCATCTGAGTGTGTTAATTAAACTATTTTTTTCTCCTAAGAATTAAAGTGTGAGCTTTCAAACTTAATTTAATTGAATTATTTTAGGTTTTGCTCCAGCTGTCAGGCTCTTTCGGGATTTTCACAGCAGTTCTTTTCTGGAATTTTGTGTCATTTAACTGTACAGACTTATACTTACAGTTCAATCTAACTCTAGTCCTAGTCTAACACTGTGTACAATGTACTGTAGAAGCTTGGGTAGCCCGGCCCACTGTGAAATCTCATTGGTTCAAAATCATGCTTTGAATAGCTGTGTATTAATATTGTCCAATTGGCTGCGATTGTGCCACATCATTCAGCAGTTTCAAGTTCAAGTAGTTAGACAAATAGATTGTCGCTGGAAACTCATGCCTGGTTAGAACACATTGTTATTTCTGTCATTAAATTTGAAATGAAAAACATAATTACCCTAGCCTTGTTTTGAAACCTTGAGGACCTGATGACAGATGTATTCTGTAGTTCAACAGATAAGCAAATAAGAGGCCAGGACCTTGGAGGAGTATCCAAAGAGCATCAATAACTTCTGGAAGCAGTTGGTTAAACTTACACCCCCGTAAAAGATTGAACGTCAATTCAAGTAAGAATCTATTTAATAAGTACATGTACAGGGCAAAGGCATTGACCTTCTGTTTCTCTGTGTACAGTACTCAATATTTATTTCTCTCTCTAGCACACACACATTCAGAGTTAGTATTTAGTAGCTCTTTCTGACACACAATGGCGGCTGGCCTCTTGCCCTTATGGAGGGGAAAAGAGATCAGGTTTGGAATGCGGCCAGAGTCGGATACAGTGCTGAGAGATTAATGATATCTCAACCCTAAAAGCCTGTGCTCATCATCTCTCTAAATGAGAGCTACACAAACAAAAACACAAGCTAATATCATGCACAAATATAGATACTAGTTAACACATGCTAAGCATGCAACATCCCAACATGCTAATGTAAGCAAATAGCGAAATTAGTGCAATTAACATGTCAATTCATTTCATGCAAAAAATTCAGAATACTAAATTGTTTTAACAACAGTACAAAGCACAACAGCTTTCTCTTTTAATCATACGCTGTCCATATGCTAGCATAAACAAAGGGACTTTTTGTAACTGAAACTTAAAACTAGCATGTGGCTACTAACATTCAACGGGTCAGTTCACTTCACATCACCATTCATGAAGAATTCAGAACAATCTGTTGTTTACATTTGGCTAAACCCAACGTTTGTAATTTTCCATACTTCAAAATTAGGTACAAGCCTAATGTTCAAATGAAACCTATGCCACGTATGCTAAATATGTACTGAAACTTACCTAAGTACTGTATGTACCAGAGTACATAAAAATCTATGGGAACACTTTCATCATTGTAATTAAATACCACCTTAGTTCATAATCCATCAGCTGCTAGTGCATACATTCACCGCTTCTTACATAAACCTTTGTAGAATGCTAGCAACAGCAGCTGCAGGACTAATGAACCTGTCTTTACAATATCCAGACTAAAATGAGCATACAATATTGTATAAGAGTGAAACTACTTCTTGAATTGTAATATCTACTCAGCATAAGTGCACAGCCCCATTAAGACCATATATAATGCAACAGGACTGTACATCCAGCCATGCTTCAACAAAGAGCGGAAGCCTATGTTTCTGAAGGCATGACAGATGAGTGCTTCAAAAAGGCCCTCTAGGCTACAAAGGGCTAGTTGTAAATTATTCAGGCTGTTTGTGTACACTCAAACCACAAGTCCAACTTTAACTCCAGACACGTGCCATGGAAAGTTCAAGAACTGGAACATGCCCTAATGTGCCATTTCGATATCAGTGACATGCATCAAATGTTGTACAGCAGGTATAAACATTGATGATCAGAATGAATTGGCTGAATATAAAACATAACTCTTAAAGATGCCTTTACATTGGAGATCTAAGGATTCAGTTAATTAAGTTGAGATCTGCATTGGTTCACATGCAAGGGTGTAGCATAAACAGCGGAGGGTATACAGAAGGAATCCAATATCCTGTATATAACCAACGCGAGAAAAATGGCTTAAAAGCATGCCATAAGAAAGGAGTATAACAAGCTTACCTTGGCAAAAAGAACTCCTTTAGCAGCCAGAGCATCCTCGCTGCGCCCATTAGGGAAGCACTCATAATGGGCATCCAGAATAGGGTAGCGACTGGCCAACAGAAGCCCGCTGTTCAAGAACTTGAAGCGGGAGCAACAGCCTTTCCAGCCATAGCGTCCCACGTCGCTCAGCACAAATGGAAAATAGCGGTGCAGCTGCCTCCTGAGCCTGTCTGCAGCTCGCCTTTCGAAGACTTCCTGCAGACAAAGGAAGTCCAGGTTGGCTGGGAAGAAGGCAGAGATCTCATGGTCAAAGCCGTCGTCTCCGTGACGGCGTTTGCGCCCAATCGGCCTTTTAAAGACTGAGGTGCGGTGTTGTGAAAGGGTATTGTTGGGGGAGATGCCTCCATCGGCTGCGTGGAAGCGAACCAGGGATTCCCGTGAGGCCGTACGGCTTTCTAGGCTACCCGTATCCCCATCCCCAGTCTGGTGGTTTTCTTTTTCAGCCTCAGTCGGCTCAGAATCAGGAGAGGTGATGCTGATTTGCACTCCAGCCGGATGGAGAGGACAGTCTTCTGAGTTCTGGATGATGTTGCTATGTACTGGACACTCACCAGAGGAGTGTGGGTCTGCAAACTGGTGGACGGCACAATCAGGAGCATGCTCTTCTCCATTGGGGTGGAGGGGGCACTCCGAGGAATTTTGGGCTCCAGTGCTGTGGACAGGGCAATCCGAGCTTGTACCTCCTGAGGGGTGAACGGGACACTCAGTTAAGGCCTCAGTCTCAGGCTCAGTGGTGACTACAGGCTCGGGACGATGGTCCAAAGATGAGGTGCGGCGGAAGCCCTGGGTGGCCAAACTGCAGAAGGATGCCGCACTAATTGAAGTATTGGTGGGCGAGTCGATGTATATCTTGATCTGGGGTCTGCTGGCACCATTACGGATCCGCTTGCCCACTTCACGAGCTCGGTGTTGAGTGTCCGCAAGGTTGTTGAAGCGTGCGAGTGAGTCCGGCAGCAGGCAAACATTGGCACTGCCAAAGCAAAAGCTGCGACCTTGTAGACGCCACTCAGCAAGTGCCGCCCCAGTTCCAGCCGATGTTCCCTGCTCGGCGCCATGCTTGTCTGGTTTCTGGTGAGAGTAGATGTAGGGGTTCCTGATGGTCTGCAGTGGGGCCCACAAGAGGAAGCCAATGAAAGCTAAGGGTAAGGATGCCAGTAACAGCATCAAGTAGAGCGGTGTAGAGATCAGGACCCCGAGTGCCAAAAAAGAACAGGGATCTTGGGAGCGTCTACGCTTCTCTAGTGATGTTGCTACACAGGAGGCCAACAACCGGTCCAACAGCCAGTAGCAAGGGAAAACAAAGGCCCAAGACAGACGGCTCAGAAAGCTGAGGAAGGCACTAGGGTAGGGAGAGGTGTGCAAGACCATTTCTGGCTCACCTTGTAGACCAACTCCCAGCCAAAAAAAAAAAAAAACTGTACAAAAAAAGAACTACAAAGTTTTCCCTCCCCCCTGTGGCGGAAAGAGGTATACTACATGGTTCTTGGGTCCTTCACTATGTCCGACTTTGAATTTGGGATATACAGGGTTCCAAGCCCAGCCTCTTCCCTCCTTGGTGGGGGTCTGCAGGGCTAGAGTCTCCTGAAGAATCTGATCATGGTGATGACAAAAAAACCCTCCTGGGACCCAGAATATTCCAGGCACGGAAAGGGGAGGCCTCGTCAGCACAGAGCCTGCAGACAAGCAAAGGGAGGGGGGAACAGAATACACAGGCAATCAGATGAAAGTAGAGGATAATGTGCAATCAACAAATTGGATCCCAGTAAAATTT